TCTGACCTGATTTCAATTCTTTTTCTCTAGATACATCACTTCGGGATGGTCTGCTTATTTTTTTCCTCCTTGTGCTGCCATTAGTGATTGTTACTGTATTAGCAGTAATTAAGCGTGATGCAATAAAAAGGAAGTTTTGCAGGAAAAGCAGAAGACAACACAGGTACTTGACTTACTACAAGAGCTGTTTCAACACTTGAGAGCAAGCTCCAGATTCATTCAGCAAGCCAGTTAGGTGCTATAGCTATCCAAAGAATTCCAGACCTCCCAATAGACTTCCCTGCAATTAGTAGCACTAGGTAGTTTAGCAGCCAGCACCATTACTAGGCAGTTTAATCCAGATGTTCCAGTTGTCAGTCCTCAAGCATTTCTTTCCCAAATTCACTGCACTTTCCTAATTGTTACTGCTAATTGTATTGCATGGACACAGGGGTACAGAACAAATAAATTATTTGGCAAGGTCAGGAAGAGGTGGAGTTGGAAACAGAATCCAGACCTCTGAGCTCTAGTTTTCATCCCTTGAAAAATGCCACATCCCTGAAGGCAGATAAACCAAAGAGGGATTTCCCTGATCATGTTTTTTATTTCAGGGATAACAATGTGCAGCAACCAAAGGAAAACAACAGACCAGGTCAAAACACAATAAATAATCAGGTAAGATAGATGCATAATTGCATCATTTCATGTTGAACAATTCAAATTATATAGCACCTTTTCTCTAATATAGTTTTTGATAACTTCATGGCTTTACAATACATGGAAACCATCTGGGTTTTCAAGTATTTAAAATCATTTATCATGTGTTAGACAGGATTTCTGTTTGGATAAGTATGAATACGAAGACTGTCACAGGAAATGAAAATTAGTCCTAAAATACTAGTAGCTTAAAACTGGACAATTAGCCACACTTTGAAATCTGTGGGTTTTGTGAACTCCATTATTTGCTGTCTTTTCCAGCCTGCCACAGCAAGCCCTGAATGTTTTACCATATCACATTTCCCTGCTCCAAGGTGTGTAGCATTTAAACCTTTCTCTGCTTCCTGCTTGCTGTGTTTCCATTGCTGTGCCAGTGGAAGTGAAGTTCCTCATTTCTCATGCCCTGCTTAGGAGGGTTTTTCATGCAGCATCATGGGACATAAAACAGATTCAGTGCTGGAAGGAGAAAATGCTGTTTTCCTGCTTGCAGAGAAACCAGCACAATGGCACATGTAACTGCTGCTAGGGAGAGGGAGGGACAGAGTTAAATATATGTATAAATGCTAGCAACTGTTTAAAGAATGGGTTTAGAAATCCCAGTCGTCTCAAGCCTTGAAATACTCACAAGAAGTGTTTTCCACACTCCAGGCAGCCAGTACAAACCTCATTTCCTGCAGTTCCCTCAGGACCTCAGCAACCTGCTGTCCCACCCAGGCCAACTGTCTGAAAAGTCTCCTGGGAACCCTCATCCAATTCTGATAAGTCACTGGTCTGAACAAAATGAAAGACTGCAGTCCTCCAACCCTCTCCCCGTGCAGCCAAAACACCCTCTAAAAGCACATACCTCTGGAAAAGACTTGATGCCAAGAGGCATTGAATGCAGATTTTTTTGTAATATCCCCTGGGTTTGTTAATTGCTGCTGGCTGAATTTCTGCCTCTTCTACCTCACCTCTTGATGTCCCAGAGTCTCAAAGAAACAAACCACCTCTGTTGTTACAGAAAAAGTGGTGTATCTGGACACAGGTTACACAGCTTAACAGTTTTTTAACATTTACTGGTTATTACACATTTTTGCTAGAAACTGATTCTGTTACACAAGTAGCAGGTAACTTTTGTCATTCTGAACGGGACAAGCAAATGTATGAAGTCACAGAGCTTGTCAAAACGGGAAAGAAGCTGCCACGGCAAGAAAAACTCACTGGCAGGACCAAAGCTGTGGGTACCGATGGATCCGTACACAGCAGTGAATCACACACCGACCGCGCCCATGTGCGAACTGCGGGAACAGGAACTAGCAAAAGCCTGAATAAATCATGGAACGGATGATTCCTAGTCCTTTTGCGGGCCATCGCACAGAGCTGGGTGAGGGAACCCAAAACATACCGCAGGCACCAACCCGCACTGGCCAGGAGTGCCTTGCAAAGCAGCGCTGCCTTTCTTAACCCCTCAGAGTCCTGACACTTTGCTACCGAGGAGCAACCCCGGC